TGGATGCGCGCTTGGGACCGTATATTCACTGTCCTAGGAAGAACACACGGCCGTGTATCGTCGAGTTGTGACGCTGAAAGTTGGCCTTTTGCTTGAATCCCTTGTCGCAGATACTGCAGATGTACTGAGGTGCTTTGCCACACTCGTCGTGCAGGTGACGCTTCAGACTGCCTTTGTTCCTGTAGGCTCTACCGCACTTGATGCAGGGATACGGTTTCATCCCGAAATCTGGGCCCCGTGGCGACGGATATCTGTTCCTCGTGTAACTACCTGCAATTTAGAGGTCAAAAGGCTTCCATTATTCGATCTAATTTCATTCAATGCAAAAGTAGAAGCGCGCTTTCCCTTAACAATTCAATCTTCAATGATGCCAGTTTTATTCTGTCGTTTTCTTTTCTCTTTACTTTGCGATTCTCTCTCTCTCTCACACACACTTTCTCTCCCTCTCACTCTGTCTTTCACTCTCTATCAGTCTATCTATCTCTATCTCTATCTCTATTTGAACACGCGCGTACACTCGTACGTAGAAACGAATTAACGCGTAGATAATGCGACACTCGAGAAGCGAAAGAATGATCGATACGTGTAGAAAATAATACGAAAGAGATGTAATATGCTCTACTCAAATGTAAGGGGAGGGCGGAGAGATTCGATCGACTGTCGGTGATTTGCGTGTCTTCGGATGACGATTCGGGTGTGAAATGAATAATAAGAATGTATATCGTTCACGATTGTTTTGCTTGTTCTAGAGCTTTATTTTTCGTTTTCTTTTTTCTAGAACTTTCTCAAGTCTCGCGACATAGACTCGCGAAGACAGAAACTTGTCTTTCTTTCTTGTTTTCGAACGTTAAACAGAAGAGGTAGAACTCTGTTAAGAGTGTTCGGTAAGTGTCTTTTCTCGAACAATTCGATTTAATTGGACGGTTCGCTCACATCCTGAAGCCGTGAACGTTCGCGCTGTGCCGCTGGAAATTCGACTTTTGTTTGAAGCCTTTCTTGCAGACGTAACAGATGTAACGGGGATTCTTGCCGCACTCGTCACGCATATGACGACGCAACGTGTCCTTCCTGGTGTAAGATCTTCCGCAGGAATGGCAAGGGTACGGCTTCCGGTGGAGCCGCGTCTTTCCGACTTCGTACCTCGCCTCCGCTTTGCGCTCTGCAATAGAAAGAAAGATCGACGGGATCAATTGCCTCTTCGATGGAAAACGTCACCCATTGGACCGATTTACGGGTAGCGATTGAGAAAGTGGAACAAACAGAAATCCAGGCATCGATAACAGTCGCGAGAACGAAGTTGTCGCAGTAATTTTTCAAGGTTCCTCGAAATTTTTCCGACCCAATCTCGAAGAAACTTTCAACGGTCGATAATTATAGAACGAACGATGGAACATTTTCTACGTGAAGGTAAATCTTACCTGTGACTCTTCGATGGTACAGAACATTTTTTATCCGATTGAAGTTTATCGTATCGATTCTGAAAGCAAAGAGAGAGAGAGAGAGAGAGAGAGAGAAAAATCGAAAATGAAAAAAGGAACTCGAAGAAAAAAATTCACAGGTTTGACAATATTTATTACAATAAATTTGTTTCTTTTCCATCGGGACGAGAGTTATGTGATCGTTGACACGTGTAGGTTGTGCACGTGTCTCTGAAAGCTTCTACGTTGTTTGAACAATTTTCCACAATATCCGCACTTAAATTGCGGCGGCTTTCCGCACTCCTCCCGCAGATGCCGGCGAAGCGACTCTTTCCACGTGTAACCCTTACCGCACAGCGAACAGACGAACGGTTTCTGACCTAATAAAAATGAAGAAAAGAGAAAAACCTTTTAATCGCCCATTTAAAACAGATGATTCCTCCAGCTTTAACCCTCTATAACGCCGTGTGACTTGCAAATTACAGTCTCGTTTTATTTATTTATCGTTTCACTATTTCACTATTGCCAGCCAATTTTTTTCTAACAATGTTTACATTTTCATAATAGTTATAATTTCTTAAATTTATAATTATTACACTTTTCTATAATCTTTCATTTTCCGTATTCCTTCTTGCTTCTCCTATGAAAACGTAGAAAACAAAATTAACCGAAACTTTTCTCCTCGTGTACGAAGGTAAAAATCAGGTTACAGAGGGTTAGGAAAATCACAGGAGAGCGTGCGACAAGTGACCAAAATTTATTTCACCACGCGAAACTTCGAGGCATCGTTCGTTCGACTGCTCGTAAAATCTTTAACGGAAAAAAATTCGTCGGGCGATATTTCGTTCCAAAAGGAAAACGAGCCAGGGCGCGCGTGGTCCAACCTGAAAACAGAACGAAGTCACGTTAGAACGAGCATTTCCTGATCTGATCTTTCGTGTCCGCGAGAAGGATCCCACGGCGTATCGGTGTGAATACGCAGAACGAACATAATTGATACACAAGAAAACTTTTATTTCACAACGTTACAGCGTTTCCATAAGCATAAAACGTTCGCAGAGACTAGGTATAAACGGTGCTATTGGAAGACTAGCATAGCGGCTCCGTTCAGAGGAGTCATTCGGTGAATGGAAGTCAAATGTTTGATCAGATGATGCTTGTGCATGAATCGGTATCCGCAAACCTCGCAGGAGAACTGCGGCAATTTTCCGCATTCGACGCGTTTGTGTTTAAGAAGCGACTCTTTCCACTTGTACGACTTGCCGCAAGCCTCGCAGAAAAATCTCGTCTGGTTAAACTGCCTGTTCTCCGTTCCCTGACACGTTCCCGATCGTTGTCGATGCCGATGTCGATTCCCCGGCTGTTGTTGCCTCGTCGCTCCTGCAAAAATTACGCAAGCAAAACGGTAATGGAATCACAATCGAACCTCGACGATACGAGATATCTCTAAAAACTTTTGTCTACGCAGCTATCGATACGTGTCTTTAACGTAAAAAAAAAAAAAAAAAAGAAAGCAAAGGAAACGACGTTGAAAGATTGTTTCTGTGGCTGCGCTTCCCGAGAGGATCGTGTCGATGCAATATTCTTCACTTAGATATTTACCGATTTATTACGCTCATTAGACAAACGACGACGTTTTGTGTCTTTTCGACGGATAAATTACAGAGATAAGAGATTCCAAGGGTGTGCTGTGGTCACGGCGGCGGTCACGAGATCGACGTTAGGTGAGGGCTAACAGTTTGCGAAGTCGGAATTTCTCGACTCCTTCAGACGGCAACTTTTCAAATGCTGCGTCACGTGATGCCTGTGCTTGAACATTTTCCCGCAGTGAAGACACGGCACGTTCGGCATCTTTCCGCACTCGTACCGCAGATGTCGATCGAGAGAACTCTTTTGACTGTACACCTTGCCGCAGGTACATATGTACTTCTTCACGTTATGGTTTACGACGAACGTGGAGGCTGGGTCTGGGAAGTGGTCGTACGAGATCTTCTCGTCTTTCACGTCAAACAGGCTGGAGTCATCTGAAATCAGAAACGTGCCTTTCGTTAAACAATTTCGCAGCCTGCCGCAGTTCGTCGTCGTTTTGCTTCTCGTCAGTTTCGGTTAAAACACATTGCTCCTCTCTTCTTTCTTCCATCGTATTGGCTTTCTATTTACAGAGGTGTAATTAGGTGTATGTCGCGTGGTTAGTTTCTTTTCTTTTTTTCTTTTTTACTGGCAGTCGTTCGAACTAATTCATGGTGAATGAACAGGAACGGTTTCGTTTCGTATTTTCTACACGATTTATTGAATATGACTCGAAACAAAAAAATATATATGTATGTACGTAGTCTGGTATCTTTTCGAACAGGTAACATCATTTTCGGTGTAACAATACTTGGTAGTTTCACGGTTGCGACTCGGTTAAAGGGTACAACTGAGCGTTTTCACGTGATGCAACCACAAGTACAGTTTGTTCGTCTTAAAGGTGCACTTTTGGCATTGATACTCCGCGCCGCACTCCCCATGCTGGTGGCACATCATCGAGAACTTGTGCTTGAAACGCCGGCCGCATTGACAGATCAGGCGACCTGAAAAAAAAAGTGGGAAACGTGTCAGTACGAGGAAACGGTTGAACGTCGGTGTTGGCAGATTCGGCGGTGTTATCGTTGTCGAAACATTCCGGACGAACGCGAGACAGTAACGGAGAGAAGAAGATAGATAGTAGAAGACTGACAAGGGACATGGTCCAATCGATGCACGCCGATTCTGATCAAATTTCCACAAATATTAAACACGTATTTTTTTTTACCTGCTAATGTTCATGCTTAGAGGGTGACATCACACTTGAAACTTGCGAGCAGGAAAATTATTAATTAGAATGTCTGGAAAATGAATCGACGTAGAGTCTGTCTGTTTTTTCGCGAAATATAATATGACACAAACGAAGTTTGGGCAAGATTACAGATAACGACTGATCCGGGTTCGTTGGATCACCGTCGTCGTATCTTCGTTGCACGTCGCGTACCGAATGAATCACTGGACGTGCACTCGCGAATACTATTACCCGCCAAATGAATCTCAGGTAGTTGATTATATCTCGATACGTTGATTCTAATGTTTGCTTTAAAGTTTCTCCTCGATCGCCGGAGATATGTGTTTCTGCTCGAAAGCTCGGATGTATCAGTTTGAATGCTCGAGAGAATCTCCGCAATGACTCCCCCGCCAAGTGCAAGAAGGCACGCTGAATGGTTTTTCACAAAAGTACAAATTACCGATCAACGTGCCCCTTGAGTGTCGCCCACCCTTCCAATGCGCCCTTAGCGCGCTTTTCCTTGGAAGGAGTGGGGAGATACCTGCGGGTGCGTGGAATCTTCGCTGTCCTTCAGGTGACGCGTCGGAAATTCCCGCCAGGTCAACCCTCGGCCGAAGGTGCCGTTATACGCACGCGTGGATTGACCCTTCAGGAACACCTGGTTTATGTCACGTCTTCGGCTATCGAGGACGCGGAAAAGTAGAAATTCTAAAGCCATTGTTTTGTAAGAAGTTACCTGTTACGAAGCGCCTTTGTTCTGAAAAATAAGCTTCTGGTGCGAGCGTGCCATAAACCCGGTGAACGAAGACCCCGCCTGTTCCGTAACTGCGCGACGGAACAGCTACCGTAAATGAAAATATTTTATTACAGTGGTATCTGTAATCTTGCCTAAATTTCGTTTACATCCTGTCATTCATTTTCGAGATGTTCTAATCAACAGTTACCCAGCCCACGAGTTTCAAGTGTGATTTCACCCCCTAAACGCGAACATCAACAGGTAAAAGAGAAAAAAAAAATACGTGTCTAATATTCTTTTGGATTCTCCGGCTCTCTGGAAAATTTGATAAAAATCGGCGTGTATCGGTTGAACGATGTCCCTTGTATATCGTATGTGGACGAGATTCGAGGAGACAAATCGTTGCTGAATAATTCAATTCAATTCTTTATTATCCGTCGAGTATTATCCCTCGCTAACACATTGGTTATCAGTGATACACTCACAATGGTAATCATACTTTGAAACTCGCAAAAAATCATAAACCATAAAGAATATATCGTATTATGTATGTATAACATTTTGCATACGCAACATATACGACTTTCGCCGAAATCGCCCGAGCGTTATGTTTTATACTTCACACTTGTTTACCTGAATGAACAATATCATGCAATTTTCTCTTCCTTTCCGTCGTCTTATTTCGCGTATAATACCTATATTATATTTTGTTACCTCCTACTTGTCATCTGGCTACTTGTATCATCGGTTGCGCTTTTGAAACAGCGAAAAAGTGTCAAACGCTTACGTGCTAATTATTATCGTCATCGATCTCCTTAAAAGCAAGAGGTATTCTTTTCTTTTTTTTTTTTTTTCTCTCTTTGGGACTGTGAATTCAAGCATTACTTTATTTATTTATTTTCAAATTTTCCGTCTCGCTCATCTCACGACTCGAAGAAAAACAAAAAAACCACCATCGATATAACTTCCTCCTCGGATTTACGTACCGTACTTAACGCACGTTACACGCATAACCGTAATTCTTTTTATTTACACGTATCGTTCTACTTGTTGGATATTGTTTTTTATTTATTTATTTTTTCTTTCTCGCGGATTCGCTCGCGTGCACGTGATTTGCATACACGTGCGCGCAACGCCGAATCACGTGTGTCTTACGTATAAAGTGACTTGAAAATAATTCTATAGGCATTTCGCGCGCAGTCATCCGCTGGCACGAACGAGTATTGCATAGCTAGCCTCGTTTATATTGGCACAAAATGTTGTAAAGTCAACGGTATCGCGTCTGTCGAGAAAATGATTTTCATCGGATTTACTCGTCGAAGAATCGATTCGATGAAACTTCCTTTTTCCCCCCAGTGTTATCTGGTTAATTATATCTTCTTCTTCATCTTCATCTTCTTCTTCTTCTTCTTCTTCTTCTTCTTTGTTTCTTCTTTTTTTTTTTTCACACACTGTGTTTTACGCTCGAAACGAAAATCAGAAACGATACCTGATTCACGTTTGCACTATAAACTCTGCGCGTGTACGTTCAAAACACGCACATCTACATGTATCGCCATGTATGTATTTAAACGCTTGTAATAAATGTATACCTCTCACTTCCTACGATTTTTTGTTAATCAGTCTTTGCGCTTCTATTACGCTTTTATTCGTATTTATCTGCGTGCAAAAATTTAAATTGTAAACGGAAGATTGCGGATCATTTTCTTCCCAATCGTGTTATTTACCAGACCACAAGACGAGATCCCGCTTGATCCGTCGTGACGATTATTTTGTTCCGTTTCTGACCAATCTTTCTGTTTGGAAGACGCGTGGCTTGTGTCCCCGTTCACGGTTCGTGCTGAGTCGACGCGACGTTTTAACGAAACCGACGACGAATCATCATTCTACCCAAAGCTTCTTTTTCCTTTCTTCCTCTCTATATCCATCGATCATCGTGTCATACTGAAAGTAATTTCGGTTTTGTACGCTCGAAATAATGAACAAAGCTGCAGACTCGGGCAAGGGTTCGGGTCCGGGTTCGGGTTTCGGTACGAAAAACGGCTATCAAATACGACATCGATAACAATTAACGTTCGATTCGAACCGATAACAGCTGCGTTCCGATCGCGTTTTTAGGCACATGGAGTCGACTCGAACGCGACACGCGGGAGTCTGTTTTCTTTTTACCTTTATTTATTTATTTATTTATTTTTTTGCATTTTTTCACTTTTTTTCTTTTCTTTTCTTGTCCCTTTTTAAGTCACTTCGAATCCGTTCATATCTCCACAAAGAAGCCTGCGAAGAAACGAAAGAGAGGCTGTTTGTTCGTACGAGCAGTACAGAGAAAAATCAAACAGCCCGTAGATCGTACCTACGAGTTCTGTTTCCGAAGCGTTTTGCAAGATCAACGAGAACGAGCGCGTAGAAGCTGAGAGGTTCACAGATTTTGTCTCGAATGAATCTCGCCGATGGTTGGTTAGATTATTCGTGGTTTCACTTCCATCGACGAGACGATCGCGGTTTCGCAAGAGACAAAAGACGGATAAGTCGAGCGAAAAGAGTATAGTTGAGAAACACGATTTTCACGACGAGCCGAAAAAAGGGGAAGGTAGTGGTGGGTGGGTGGGGGATTGCTCGTCGTCGAGGGATCTACGTATAGTATATCTAGCTTAGCTTTAATCCAGGGATGTCGAACTTCTTTCCATCCTCTCGGCATCCTCAGCCTGTTCACCCACTTCTTTTCCTCCAGGAGTTGCACAAGTCCCGCTACATATTTACGACTACTACAGTAGTGTCAGCTACGAACGAGGGACTTATCCGGGTGACTAGTCTGCTGATGGTGGGGCTTGTGCAGCACCCGGAGGAGAAGTTCATCCGAGTGAAGTAGGGGCCGTTCACCTACGGCCCTACGGGGCAAGCGAAGGGCAGGG